CGCACCCGTCTGTTCCGCCGTAGGCGTTGGGCCGAAGGCGTACCGTACGGATTCGCTACCCCGTAGGTACTTACCTAATCTTGATGCGCTGGCGCCGTAGGCGCCGTTCGAGCTTCACCCCCGAAGGCGAACTTCTAGGGCCTAAGGCGGATATTCCGCCAATGGCGAAGTGCCTACGCACAGGCGAACTCCTTCCGCCTGTGCGTAGATGTTCGTCTTCGCATCTTCCGATAGTCACAACTCCCTGAGTCCTCATCCGTTCTAGGCGTTCTTGGGCTCGTTAGAACGAGCGCGTCAAGGTCTTTCTAACGAGACCCTAAACAAGTCAAGGCGTTACGAATTGCATAAACTCTGAGGGATCGCCTTAGCGCCAAAGGCGTACCGCCGAAGGCGGATTATGCGCCTTGCGCCAAAGGAGAACTCCTTCAGAAGTGATCGTTCAGGTCGGGCGCCTGTTCCGGACATTGCGCCCAACTTCTGGATTCTACGAGATCATGCGAGATCCGCGATTATCCATCTTCACTCTATTTAAATGTACCGATCACCATTTACACGGCTGCTGCGGTACTGTTTTTCAAAATTGTTTTAAATTCCGCACAAAAGCAAAAAGTGGGTTACCACAGGTAGCCCCCGCAGTATTTATAGGAATGATTAGTGCCTGAGAATTCAAACTCGTCAATAGACTTTTAAGTTGTGACTTTAAATCTTTTCTCCATTGAGTTTCTTAATTCGGATTTCTCTATTCTCTACGCGTTTTGTGAGTTGAGTGTGTTGTTAACCGCGTGTGAGTGACTTCGGTTTTACGAAGGTACCGCATCCGAAGTAGGAAGTCCAACCGAATGCTCTGCACTAGCAGTCAGAGTTATCAATTCGGAGTTGGATAACACTACGTGCAGATCCTCTGAGAGTACTTGTGAGAAACTTTCCCCCTGAACCTTGAGTGGAGGTCCTAATCGGCCTTTGAGTTGTGCTTTTTCAGTTTCAAGTGTGTGTTGGGGTGAACTACGCTGCACTGTGCGTCCTCCGAGTGACCTACGAGTTGAGCACTTGCAATATTTCTGGGAGTGACAGTCGCCGGAGAATTCAAACTCCTCAATAGTCTGTTAAAACGTGACATTTAGTACTCTGTGTGTTGCCTCTATCCGTGTGGGTTCGATCTTTTGCTACTATAGTGCAGTTTTAGCCTTTGGTGGGTTATTACACATCTTCCTCAAAACAGATCCCTGTCCAAGTGCCAAACCGCTAGTCTTTATCTGCAATCATGCGCATCGCAGGTACATCAAGGCTGTAAGCCCACATACGACCGTGAGAATTTGCAACTCTGGAGAAAGGCCTTATTCCACCTTGTCTCATATCATATTGTAAAGTATTCCCCTCTTCTTTCCTTTGTTATCAAGGATCAAGCCAGATCGAACGACCTTTCTATAGCCGCGTTCATAGATAGAAGAGGCTACAACAAGTAAGGTCGGCGCACAATATCACGGGCATCTGCAAAGCCAGCGCACAATATCACGGGCATCTGCAAAGCCATTCTCAGTGACATTTTAGCGTAGTCTTGGTCGAGCTCTCCTGTAGCGCTTGTGGAAGGTCACAAGAACCTCATAGAGGCCATCTGGATACACCTCTCTACCGGCTTCGCTGTACTCTTCGTCGGGCCCCTTCCACCTTCCTTTGCTACCCAGAACTGTGTAAGGTATATTCTTTTTTTGGGCTAGTGCCGATAAGAAGATAGCAGATGAGAATCCATCCAAGGACCATTACAAGCCCCACGCAACGGGGAAATATCCTCTTACACAGACCCTTGGAAACTGTGTTGGATATCAGCTGAAGCAGGAAGGTGATCGTCAAACTCATCGTTTCTCTCCACCTGAGACCTGAAAACTACCTGTACTATACATATTGCCTCGGCCTGATAAAGAACATAGACACGGCGTTCCAAACTTTTGAACCAATTTACACAAGATTGACGTCAGTCTGGTTGCCTCAAAAGAACCTTGTAATTTCACCTCTGTATGAGTCTGACTCTAAATCGATATTCCGCCCGTTCTAATGAAAGCATGTGGCTTCACTCCACAAGTAAATTTCCTGAAAACCATGATAGCATCCAGTAACTTCGTTCGTGCATTGCTCATAACGCCCTTGACAAACTTTCTCAAAATATATTTCTTTCAATGCGAGGATGATGTTCTAATAGTGGTAGCTATGCATAATACTCCTAACACAGCTTTAAAATGAGTGATTATCGATGCCAATGAATAGTGGACAATGGAGTGATGGCAATATATGATTGCACCTTCCTTTTAGTCAATCACATCAATAAACACATAGGCTCCGAGTTACGATTGTCAGTGGAAAATTGCTTTTCTTTTTCCTGTTAATGGAGACCTATTCACGCTCTGGACAAAAATTTCAAAATACTGTATCGTTCAGATATGAAAATCTAGTGTCTTAGACAGTGGAGAAAAACATTCTATATCAAGAGAACTAAAAACATTCTACTGCTATTTTACTTTCTAAAACACAGCCACCTCACATGAAAAGCGTCCCAGCTTGTGTGTTATACATAAGCTAGATTTTCACGTTACCAGGACAACGACGAAATGAGATGTTTGGTAAAGAATCTGATTGATTATCCAAATAAATCATGACGCTTTACTTCTTCAGGGAAGGTGTGGCCTCGATCGGATGAAAACGTTTCCAGACTACGACCTCGACGGAGGCCCGTAGGCTGTCCTTTCTGGTCTATGACAGTGGCGATTCTTCTCATACCACCTTCCCAAATGCAATAATACGCGGGGACTCGGATCCTTCGGATTAAACTGTAGAGTGGCCTCGCTTCGTTCAAAGGCCGAGCTCATGGAATCGACTTCTACGTGAACTAGTTGTCGGCAATATCCGAGGATGCGCACAACACTTCTGGAATTATATATCTTTTGAAATATATCCGCGACGAGACCGGCTCCAGAGTTCACTACGTCGGCGTTTCTCTGGTGCGTGATTTCGTCTGTTCCTCCCTCCAGGTGAGTCAACATCGGGGCGTCAGGCTGGAGCTAACCTACCGTGAATGGATCCATCCATGGATTGCTGTGTTTGTGGAGAGCGCTGCACAAACACGCTAGCGTTCGGCTGCGGCCGCCCCGAACGCCAGCGTCGCTAGTCTCATGAACACTCTGATTCTGATGGCGGGAGTTATCAGAGTCAGAGTATGATAGCTCCCGCCGTCTATCGGGAAAGACACATTCTGGTGTCGTGCAATCCTGGTATCCCATTCTGTCTCGCTCGGTGAGGCCTCCGACCGCCTTCCCCCATTAATGGTTGTTAATGGTTTATGGTAGACTGGATACCATTCATGAATCGACGATGCAAGGTAATGTTTATGACACGGCCGCTTATTTACAAGTCGTCGGGCATGAGCGACAGCGAATACACGAGAGGAGGCTGAAACCATTCTCCTTTCAGAACTGAGTAAGAAAGCAGCACGCTCGACGGCTGCGAATTCGTGAATTCGATATCTTCAATCTGTCCACGGTCAGGCTTGAAGCGATGAGATGAGTTTGGTGAAGTTAGAAAGAGCGGTAGAGGGAGTTTCATGTAGATGCCATTCCCTTGAGGCGCCACGCGTCTCGTCTTCGGTTCGCCATCTCGAGTGACAGAACACTCCTTCTTCATTTGGTTTCCCCGGTGCTTTAGGACTATGGGCTAGTGGGAAGAATCAGTCGATCTAAACCCTTCCATCGATTGCGGTATCGGAATGAAGTCTGAGTCAGACAGGGTCAGACTATCTGACCCTGTGCCTTTTGCTTTGCCTGCATGTAAACATTGAACGCCCCGATTGCTGCCTAGGTCCAAATGTGGTCTCGCTCGATAACGGGTGGGATGGAGTGACGTCGTACAAGAATCTCGAGCACCTCCATCTGAGTAAGCCTGACAATCCATCTCAAATAATCAGAAGGCAGGATCGAATTATCACATATGGAATTGATTCTTTTGTGAGCGAAGCACGGACCGACTTCTCACACAATCTCGTGAATAGTTTCGACTAACACCTTTCAGCATTTCGACTAGGGGTTGCCATTCTTGAATGCGCTAGCATACAACGCAAAACCGACCATCCCACTTACCCATGTTGGTTGTCTACAAGAACAGTTTCTCTACAGTTTCATTATTGCTATATATATATATATATATATATATACACATATGAAACTAAATTCCATAAATAGAATAGAAAAAATGATTTTGATATTCTGCTCTACACACAATTGTTTAAATTATGGTGACAAATAACTGCATAAAATCCAAATTGATTAAATGTTGAACTTCATAATCCAGTCCGAGATTCTGAAAGCAATATTTTTTCGGCAATAGTTGGTTTGGTAAATCATAGATGTCTAGAGGTACCTGATCTTCACATATATGTAGAAAATTCAAGTACCAAATCGCTGACTAAAATGCCTCGTGTATTGGCCACGAGCGGGCGACGCTATATAATAAAAGCTAAACAAGTTATATGTTCAACTGATGTGTATGAATGATTCGATGTTTATAATAATCATTTAATATTTTGAAAGAAAAGAAGAAAAGACGGTTCACAATCGAAATGCATACGGAGAAGTCGATACTTTAAAAGTGATCATATCCAAATGAGTGGAGATATTGAGAGAACTGAAGTCACAGGTACTGAGAGGGCCAACTCCACACGATACAAAGCAAAGCAAGCAGGGAGCAATGTGTTCTATATGGAGATATATTTAAAGATGAAGGGCTTAATTTTCCACAGATTAATGCGTTGTAGAATGACTCAACAAGTCCAACGATATAGAGACCGTAGACCGTCTTCGGCAGAGATGAACTATATTCGACCGAAGCAGGCCTTGAACCCTGGAGAGAAAGAAGTCCATTCATTCTCATGCAAAATTCAGTGACTTCTTGCGTGACTGTGTGTACACTGCAAATTGAAATAGCATTCTTATGTCATGGTTGGGATAGACGCTGGGATGGTGAGTGAAATTTGGATCTCAGAGAAAGACTCCTGCAAATGGCGGGGCCGAGCATAAATCGAGACGACACCTGATACCTTGTCGCCGGACACTGAATTTTTATCACTAGCTAGGGAGACGACCCTGCAGATTACCTGAGAAGTCGAGTAAACTGCAGGTCGAGCGTCATGCTTCGGTCCCGGAAAGGTGGTTATTGCATTATTATCGCTAGCTTGCATTATTATCACTAGCTAGGGAGACGACCCTACAGATTACCTGAAAAAGTAGAGGAAACTGCAGTTCGAGTGTCATCCTTCGGTCCCGGAAAGGTGGTTATTCCAGATCATAAAGAAGCGGCACGAGCAAGTGCATGCGCGCGGGGGAATTTTGCGAATTCTGCGAACTCTACGATTACGTGAAATCTTGCCTGATGCGGTCGAAGCGGATGGCCTGGATGTTGCTGCCGAAGCCATGCTCTCGGAATCTGGGCACGACAGTCACGGTTATGTCCGTGGTCCAGTTGGTGATCCCCAGCCGCCTCAAGGCCAGAGAAGTGCTGAAGCGAATGTTGAGGGTGCGGTACATGTCCTCGTCGGCGCGGAGCTTCGCCACAGCCGGCACTCCGCTGGGCAGGTGGGTGAAGGAGCCGACGTAGGCCGTCGAGTCCTCGTCCGTGTCGGCCGTAGCCGTGGGCGAGTCGATGAAAGCGTCGAGGGTCAAGTACATGAGCTCGGGCACGCGGACGTGCTCCAGCACCACAGTCTCGCTCAGCTGATCGACGTTCTGGGCCTGCGTGCCTCGCAGATCGGCCGTGGTGGGAGCCCGGCGTTTCACCTTGAAGCTCGTGGGATGCCTTCCGATGGCATTGCTGGTGCTGACCCTCACGTCGCTGCTGTTGTAGCTGGGCGTGGTCCCGTTGGGTTTGTGGTTGATCCACAGGCTGTCTGATTGGACCATGGGCTGGTATAGGATGCCCAGCTTGCGGCTGTCCAGCGTATCCTTTACCTTCACCTGCACCAGGCCTTGGTTCTCGTCGAAGAATTCGAACACTGTCTCCAGGAAGTCGTGATCATCGTAATCCTTCCGCTTCCTCTGCCCATCACCCGGTGGAAGAGCTTTCCAGACATTCCACAGACGGTCGATGTTGGCGTGGTGAGAGTAGAAGAGCGGGTCGCGCCCTGCGTACGTGAACACCCCCATGTCCTCGTTGTCGGGATGGTCGGTGTTCCCGGACAGGCCCACCCATTCGTGAGCATGATCGTGCACCGACTCGCAGCTGCCGGACTCACCCACGGAAACGCCGGGCTGCTGCGGGTCGGTGATGTTTGTGTTGGTGGTGTACGGGCCTCCCATGAACTCTCTGGCGCTCTTCTTATCGACGACCATGGTGTACATCTGGTGCAGGTTCTCCTCCCTTATCTTGTCGCGCGTCCAGTTCGCGCGCCGCGCCTCCCAGGCTAGCGGAAGAATCTCCGGGGGCATGTGGTCGGCGTTGCGGTGTTTGCCTTGGTACAGGAACGTGTTCCTGATTCGTGCATGCCTTCGTGCATGCCTTTGCGTTTGATTGTAAGGCAGGAAAATCTGCGGAATTTGGGCCGCAGTGTCGTCCAGCTGGTTGTCCCAGTTCCAGAACGGGAGAGTGAAGTCGGGGTCGTGGATCAGACTGCCCAGGATCTTCTCGTGGAAGTAGATCAGCATCCTGTGCCATGGCAGGAAGGTCCAGCTGTAGTGCAGTTGCAGGGGAAATCCTGTGGCCGAGAAATTCAGCCGTCTTTGCAGGTAAGCGTCCCTGCAGAAGGCGCAGTGAACGTGCCATTGTCTGAGAAAGCTCCTGGGATCGTCAGCGGGCAGCGCGTTCATTCTCTCGTAAGCCAGGTTATACTTGTTCACGTACTCCACATCGTTGGCCAGCTCATGCGCAGGCCTGCGCACGCGCCAACGCTTCACTTTGGGGAATTGGAATTGGATGGGGTGTCGCCGCGGACGCATATGACAGCATTGCTCGGTTCTGTTTGTCTCGTTTCCTTTAGGCTGGAGCGTGACGGGCTTGCAGAAGCCACGGCCCGAGGCCAGGACCGGATCCGCACTGGCCGGCTGCGTTAGATATGGTAGGACTAGGACTAGGGCGATCGAGCACAGATAAGAAGCCCAGAGGATTGCATTGCTTCTTCCCCAGCTTGCTCTCCGCATCGGAGGCTCCCCCATCTTGTCTTGACAGGTGACTTGATCTCGGAGATGGTTGATCGATGATGGATGAACTCCGCGACTCGGCCAGCCGTGGAATGTACCCGACCTGATCAGTTCAATCCATTCCCAGCTCTCGATTCAGGCACCCTCCACAGAGAAACGTCTAATTCTTGCATCCTTTCCAAGCCATGGGATCCGACAACACTAGACCTTCTAAATCACGAAGCGCCTAGAAAACAGTCATTCCTTGCTACTTCAGGCTGGTTGGAATTCTATACGTATATCTAAAGTGCCAGAAGATGTTTGCTTGGAGAAATAGTTCAGTCACAGTCCAACTTCTCGCCGAAAACAATAACTGCTATCGTCTAAATGGCGGGAACGATTGTCCCAAGTCTGCGTGCATTGGAGTCTCTGACATTGGAGTACCTTAATTATGTGCGTGGGGGAAGCTCGCAGCTTTCAAGTACCGGCGGCTGGAGAAAATTTGATGTCGAACGGGAGAAGACACACGGCCTCTGCGCTCTGGCATGTACAGAGAGTGATTCTGGAGAGCCTGGTGCAGGTACAAACCAAGACCGGGCTTGCTGACTGCTACCATGAAAGGGAAGTACGCGATTTCCCGTATAAGTACTCCGTGCGAACTATGAAAAAACAAAAGGCAATCATGATTGTGGATATGCTCCACAATACACTGCCAGAAGCGTTGGCATTGTAGTATCTCGAATTCAAATTCGTGTTTCCAACAACCACCATGACGGGTCAAATTCTAGAAGTTTTCTGTGCATCGGAGTTCCCCGATATTGCCTATAACCAGTTCACGTAGAGGTCGGTTGCACGAGTTCGCCCTGTGAACGAGGCCACTATACAATTTAAACCGATAGATCCGAGTCCCGGCGTATGATTGCATCTGGGAAGGTGGTATGAGAAGAATCGCCGCGGCCGTAGACCAGAAAGGACAGCGTACGGGCCTCCGTCGAGGTCATAGTGTGGAAACGATCGAGGCCACACCTTCCCTGAAGAAGTACAGCGTCATGATTTGTTTAGATAATTAATCTGATCCCACACCCAACATCCCATTTCGTCTTTGTCCCGGTAACGTGAAAATCGTGTGTTATACATAAGCTGGGAGGCTCTCCGTATTTAGCCACATGTAGAATTACAGGGGCTACTGTGTGATTGAGCCTGGGTTCTCCGCGTCAATTGCGTTTCTGGGACCAGGAAATGTTCGACTATGATTGTCAGACCAAGGCCCGAGTAAGCTGTGTAGATAGCGTGCTCTCCAGTTTCCCCGAAAAGGTCAGCATCTATCTTGCAGTCATGTCATGCTCCGACAATTCACATTTTTTGTATTACTCTGGTGCTGGACAAAATTCTTTATTCGTGATTTTCCTGATCTTAAAGAGAAAACACTATTTAGTCATGATATTTGCACAATAATTACCATTTGGATATATTAAAGAGTTAATTCTCGTTGGATACGAGTAAACAGTATGTAATCAATTGCATTTGAGTTAAGATTTGATATTCAAATCTAGTTTCAATCCCTTATACGCTATTTATATTTTACCTCTCACGTTACATTACAATTATGCTTAGACTTAACCGTCTTCATGTGAAGAAGCATCATTAGAGGAAGCCACAGTCCAGTTCGAAGAAATGATTTCGGAATATAAAGATAGCACGGGCTGTATTGGTTTAGTTGGTGCTTCTACTACTCGATGGAAGTGTAAGGAAGCCAAGTGAGAACTGATGACCACATGACATGACGGAGTTGATGGGATCTTTCGGGGAGACTGCCGAGAATGAGAATGTGACTCAATTCAGGTTGCGTTGGTGCTATTCTTCTTGCTCGGCCTTTCACTTTATCGTGCATCCATCCAAGAATTTTCAACATAGGGGGCTTGGGATGTCACAATGTACACCGCAGGTTTCTTGCTCTCACTCGCATTCTTATTCCCATCAATTTGACGCCCCTCTCATCTATCTGTGAAAGTTACCTACATGACGAGGCACAATTTGTGTGAGGTTGAGTATGTCTTCCACTGCTATGCACCGTGAAGAGAGTTGATCCAGGGAAAACATGATAATTTGCCCAAAAAAATTTCTTGAATAAAGTCAATATGTACTCTTCGTGATAGGCTCGTACCAATATCGTGATAACATAAAATTATATACTTTATTTTGCTAATTATGCTCTTACAATAATAAACAATAAATTTTTGTCCAAAAGTCACGATAGACTCTTTAAATAACATGTGAAAGTTTAGAATATTTTGATTGCATACTTTGAGTGTAATGGTGTTCAACATGCGATCTAATGTGAAGTTTTAGTTTTATAAATATGTGATTTGTGTTCCAAAAGAAAAGAAAAGAAAAAAAGCAAAGTTCAAGATTTAATACAATCTTTGAGAATTAATTAGAAAAAATTCGAATATGTAACCATGAATTTAACATGAGCATCATTAAAAATCTTTCAAAAGTTAAACGTGATAAGATGAATCACATGATAATGATGTTTTTTGGTAATTTTTTCCTCAATATGTATGATGGTAGATTAGAGTTTCAAACAAAAATTAATCATTGATTGGATGACTTTTCATTTAAGCTGTTCTAAAAAACATTGTTTCTAAAGTTTATAAAAATTTGTTTATGATGTATTCTTGGATTTGGTCAATGATTTCATCTTAATTGCAAACTCAAGTCGTTTCTTGCGTATGTTAACGTTGAATTGTTTTTTTGTCAAATTGAGAATGTCATGTACTTAAAATACTAAAATAATGAAATTTAAAATGCAATTTCTTAACTTATTCATAATACACATATATTATTTCTAAGAAAATTTTTTAAATACATTTAATGATTTCAGCCATCTTCAAAAAAATTTATCTTAAATTTTTTCCTTAAAATCATCTGGATGTATCATGTAGAGACTTTATTTCAAATATTCAATAAAAAAAATTCAATGACTACATTCATCCTACTCATGACTAGAAAAAATTGCGCAACAAATGCACATATCAATTGCACTATCGTATATTTTGCATGAGACTACTATGTTGTAGAATGAAACCTCCAGACATCAAATAGTCTTTGAAAATTTTCGTGTTGTTATTTACAGGTTTAAACTTCAACCAGTACGTGAGTCTAATTATAAGTTCATATTTGAAATTAGTCTTAGAATAACAAAATCCTTAAGCAAGATATTGGTTCAATTGCTAGAAGTACAAAAAATGATGATAAATCCCATAGTTTAGCTAGAGTAACATGAAGTTTTGTTAGTCTAGCCAGAAGTTAATTGTGTAATTTAGTTCTAAAATCTTCTGGTGCGGAAGAAGATTTTAGCGCTCGCAGCGATATGAAGTGAAAAAGTATTTTTGATACTTCGGAACGGCAAAAAAATCTATACGGAAATAACTTAGGACTATTACAGAGAGTTCAACGTCTGTGGCTCGGCAAGTTTTTTAGGTTTAGTCGTTTAGGTTTTTTAGGTTTAGTCGACAAGTCTGTTAGAAATCTAAGGAGGAGTGATGGAGCAGTTGTTGGGGCTAGAGGTATTGGTACAAGGAAGAGGATGTAATGCACAAGGTGCGAAGTTGATGAGACACATAGGAAGCCATGCTCTTGAGCTCTGTATTCTTTATTCGTTGGCGGCGATTTTTGAGTAGAAAGAATCAAAGTACGAGCAGGAAACAGAGCAGCCATACACAAGCAACCTCTGTTCCTCTCATACAAATGACATCTTGTGAATATGATTTGGAAAGAAGATGAACTTTTTGAGCTAATATACTCAAAAGTTCTTGTCAACAGCCGACATTCAATCCGAGTCCGCATCTTGACATTGCAGCTGCTATTGTCAGGTTACTTCTAGCTTGTTTATCTTGCTGGATCTATATGCATTTTTAATATCTCCATGTTTTTTAAGACTTGTGGTATCAAGCAGTGGTTCATTGCAAAAGTGTCTAAGATTGATGATGGGTGGAATGAAATTTCCATAAGGAGGAGTTCGGCAACTTTTGGCAAAAAATCTTTGAATGTGATGGATCATGAGATGTTGAAAATTTATGCAACAAATATTTTGGCAATATTCTTACAAATAGGTGACGTGATTGAAGATTTATTAAAAAATGTTATGATGACCAAATTTATGCACAATTTGAGATCTGCACTTTTGGTGAAAGTATTGTCAAAACTGGGCCAGGTGTTGAAAATAGACCTCTTACAAGTGGTAGAGCGAGGAAAAAGTGTGTGGTAAGAATGCATTAGATTCATTGCGTATGAAGTAAAATCAGGGCTTTGAGAGAGTTGAATTTGACAAGGTTGGTACAAAACAATTGGAAATTGATAGCAGTACTAAGTGTGGAGCTAACATAAAAGAAAAATGTAAAAATGAAGAAAGAATTATGCAGTAGAGACATGATAGCACTATAATTGAAATTTCTGATAAAAAAAATGTGTGTGTGTAGTAGAGGTAGGTGAAGGGAAGAGACAAAGCAAGGACAAAGAAAATTCAAAGTGAAGAGGAATAGTAAGCAAATAATGATTTGAACACACTAGTTCATTGAGAGAGTAAGATGGAGAGGGTATGACAAACACTATTAAGTCGAGTAGTGACATTTTTGATCAAGGAGTCAACAAAGGAAGAAGGAAGTGAAGGAGTGGCGATGAAGTTGTTGAAAGACCACTAACAAATGGTGTTTGAGGTGGATAAGTACTCCGTCAAAGGTGATTGATGTCTTGAAAGTACTTCTTAGCTTGTGAATGGGGCAGAATTAGGAAAAGAAGGAGTTTCAAAGGATGTTACGTCACGACAAGAAGCCTAGAAAGAGTAAGATGCAGAAAATAATGCGACCGCATAGTATTCTAAGTAAAAAAATGACATTTGTGATCAAAGAGGCTGTAGAGGGAGATTAAAGTAAGGGAGTGATGATGGTGGTGTTTGAGGTGGCAAACTCTCAATCAAAGATTTTTGATGGCTTGAGATAACAGTTACCTTAAAAATACTTTAGAGCTTGGAAAAGTAGCAGAATCAAGTACAGAAGGAGTTTCAAAGGAAATTATGCCATCTTAGAAAGCCAACAAAGAGGATGATGAGCTAGCACTGTGTGTCATGATCGGCAAGATGGATGTGGGTAGGATAATAAGAATAGTTGCAAGGGCGATGGAGTCAAAAGCAAGCACTGCATTTGTGCCAACAAAGACAATCAAAGATGTTGTAGATGCGGCAATTGAACTTGCTAAGCTAAAGGCAATTGCAATTGCAACTGAAAATAACGCTGTCATTGAAGAAGCTGCAAAAATTGCAGTTGCAACCATTATGGACACTCCAAAGCCATTAATGGAAATAGTTTTTAACCAGCAATTGACGTGTCTTATTGTGGTAACCCACTTTTTGTTTTTGTGCGGAATTTAAAACATTTTTGGAGAACAGTACCGCAGCAGTAGTGTAAATAGTAATCGATACATTTAAATAGAGTGAAAATGGATAATTGCGGGTCTCGTAGAATCTCGTAGAATCCAAGAGTTGAGCGCAATGTCCGGGATAGGCGCCCGGCCCGAACGACCGATTCTGAGGGGAATCTCCTTCGGCGCAAGGCGGAG